ATATCTATTATCACAGACAGCGCTCATCCTTAGGACCAGTTAAAGAATCTTTATGTTTGTTATACCATCGATCAACAATACAAATAAATAACCAATCGTGGCATGAAAATTTTGATTTAAACTATCAGTAAGTAACATTTAATTTTCGTACAGCATATTCCGATTAATGTCTATTCACACTGCATTTGGCCAGAAAAGAAGAGTTAGTTTTTGAGTTTCTTGTTTGTATCTCAATATGACTGAAGCTCTGACTTCTAAAATAACAATCGGTTGCTTTAACATTATAGCCACTAGATAAAAGAGAAATTAAAAAAAATATTGTTATTTATACTTCCAAAATATAAATATAAATTTCCGTGGTTTCCTTTATATTACGTCGTTTTTTATTCGTTAAAAAGTTTTTCCTTATTACTGATTGGTTAATATTCCTTGTAATAAAAATAAACATATCTCATACTATATCAGTAGAAATAAATCACACAATTGAAATATGGTCACCTCACCATAAAAAATCGATAATAGCACGCGGATGTTCAGAGCGTACAAAATAACAACAAACAACGCTATACAAACTCCACACTACGACCAGACACTGAAATCACACCTGCAACTTTAATTCTAAAGCTGTTAGGTTCAAAATGAATTATATTTAGTCGGGTCTCACGAGATGAACACAGGTGCGCATCCGGCTATCTCAAGCTAAGATTCAAGTTAGTTTGGCAAAGAATTCTAATTACAAACTAAGAAGCCGGCACGGCAAAACAAAGCCGTTGAAATTTTGTATGAAACAAAAACTTGGAATTTGCAGGTTTGTGTTGTTAGGGAAAAAACGCATTGTCATCACTGAGAAACCATAGTATTACAACTTTATAATGAGACTAGCGGCCCGTCCCGGCTTCACACGGGTGTATTGGAAATTAAAGTAAAAAATTAAATGAAAATTCAGTTCCACACGCATCGCTTTGGTAACTTCGATTTCTATTCTACAGCATTTGATTTTCGATTTTCAAAATTTTCAAATACTACGATACGTTCTTTTGTGGCTGGCCAGGGCGCGGGGCGCTTGTTCTTTATTTTAAATATTGTATTGGTTCTGAAATGAGCAGGTCTAGACTAGAAGCCACTTTTTGTTTAATTATTCTTATAGCTATCGAGCATTACAATATCTCCCTCCGTATTTCTAAATTTTAATATCTATAGAAATATATGTGATGAAAAAAAAACAGATCACCGATTTGAAAAACTGTTATTATATAAACAATACAATAAATTACATAAAGTACAATTATTATATACCGAAAGACTTGTAACGTTAAGTAACAGAACAATATAAAGGACTGCTTAAATCTCATTAATCTAGGTCCATCAATTTAGGCTTTGCATTATGAGTAAACCAGCCAATCAATCAATATGCCCATTTCTCTCTTTAAATAACAGAAAAAGTTCGTAGAACAAATAATGACTGATAAGTTTTAATGAACAAACGTTTTTTGAAAATTTGAATTGCAAAAAAAACCCATCTCATTACTTGTCTAGGCAATAATAGGAATCTACTGTCCAAATTTCATCATTCTAGGTCCAGCCGTATCGGCTGTGCGTTGATGAGTCAATCAGTCTGTCAGTGTACAATTTTCTCTCTTTATATAATAGTATAGATAAACTGAAAAATATTTGGTTTAACAGAAATACTTCTACTTTGTCTAAAAACTAAGACGTGTGAAATATATATTAATTTGCCAGTATGCTCGGTTTATTATAATTTAAGATTACATTTTTTATACCAAGAGTCCGAAAATAAATTTCAGCTTGCGAAGGTTAAAGAGCTTAAATCACAGACAATAAATAGGAATTTACATAAAACATAAAGTAGATTTCTCGATGTTTATTAACCTATCCAGTGCCTTTACGAATCCCTCAAGAACAAAAAAAATAAAGTAGTTTCATTTGTCACAGAGCAAAGCACACAGGTGCACATCCGGAGCGGAGGCTGTGCGGTCACCGCACCCACACCTGGGGCCTTTGGGAATTAACACGACGCAGCTTGTCGTAGATTTACTTTACACAAGATTCAAATCTCTGCTTTACACAAGTTTACACATATATTTACGGTCAGTTTCAATAATGAAGCTTCAGTAAGATATAGGCATATTAGAGCTTTGTTGCATTTTATTATTTGGACTTGAGGTGCCCTTTTTTATTTACGATGATAGACGGGCTGTTCCGACTTGTTAGATAACGTTGAATGTTTGAAGTAAAAGAGGAAGTTCAAACATTTTAAAATAGTTTATTATAATATCCACAATATTGTTCTTTATAAAATATACTAAAAGTAATGTTAAATGATAAGAATGATTTTATGCGTATGTTAAAATATTAATGTTTAATGAATGCAACCGACTCATTCGGTACCTATCAAAAATGCACTGAATTAATTGACGCGCGTGTTTACCTTATTACCGCTGTCTTAGGCAAAATACTAATATAATACATTATGGGTGTTGGATTACAATGCATCGGATAATCAAATTGCCGACCGGAAAGATGGCTCTCATGAGATGTGCTTGTTAGATGAGAAAATTAAAGTTACAAAGTGAAGAAACAATGTCAAAAATGGTTTGGTTTCTTTATGTCGTAATAAAGAATCACAACTGAGTACACGGTTCATTAGGTTTCTTTCAGTGAGCTCGTGAGGCACCCATTATCGAGCTTTTTCGTATACCTTTTTTTAAATGCACCAAAAGCATTTTGTTGGTTATTCCCAGTTCTTCAGCTACGTCGTAATTACTGATATTCCGATCTTGCTCCACTTTTTCAAAACGTGCGACAACGACGTGCATCTTTGACATCAAAATTTCCGAATTGAAAATGCTTTAACCAAATTTGTGATACTCTCACAGAATCTGCAGTAGGTCCCTAAACACTACCTCGTTTTTCGCCGCTTGCGTTGCCTTTTTCCATTTTTAAAATTTAAAAACTGTGTCGTTTTTTTTATTATGTCTTCGCACAGCTTGTGCATTTAGCCAATGTAAAGTGTTAAAATATTTACAAAAACTATAGTACTCGTGGTCAAAGTAATAAATCAAGTCAAAGGAAGCGGCAGTCAAGTCAATCCCCCTTTCCCTATGTTTCAGTAAAAATGTGGGGATTTACTGGAACCTCCCCGTGGACTTCTTGAGGGAACGTTGAAAGACACTTTCCGCTATTTTGTTTCACTTGCCAACACTTGGGCATGTTCCCGAACACTTAGTGGTTAATAATCCATAATCAATGACACTGACATCCGCCAAAACACAATTTTTAACAAGAAAAACCAAAACTGCTGAAGTGACGCTTGCCGATCCCGCCAAAAAGTTCATGTATCGAATTTCTTCATTAGATTTACTCATCTTGACAGTTAATCTTGACATAAGTAAACAAGAAAAATAAATGAAAATCACACATGAAATGATACTTTTTATTATTCCAATATTAAGTTGCAAATAATTCAATGTTCAGTCACGTGTCACGTCTAGTAGAAACATTAGGGATGATCACAATTTTTTTTGACGTGACAACGTCTTAAATTAGGTTGCGGCTGGGAGTCACTTATGAAAAAGTGTAACGCTCGGTAACGTTACGATGAGTCTCTCGTGTTAAGTTTAAGTTTACATGTACAATGTTTTAGTAAACAAAATATATTTCTATAGTTAAAATTTGTGCAATTCTTATTTTCATTCAATTCCTTGTTCCTATTGTGCAATTTAATTATATTCATATCAATAAATATTCTACCGAGAAAAAGACGTTGTCACGTAAAATCTTCGCCCGTAAAACCGACTTTACAGGCAACCATTTTTTCTTCATTTATCTACTACGAAGTTGGTTACCAAAATGTATTGGACTCTTATTTATATTTTTTTTCACATGATCCAATCATTACAGAGATATATTGATTAGAAATAAAAAAAAGCGAGTGTGCTTATAACCACACGACTGAAGTAAAACTTCTTTAGCTCCAATGATCTGATAATCATAAACTTAACCTGAAGATTTGTTGATGGAAAAAAAAAACACAAATCCGCGCTGGGTCCGTTATCACCCACCAAGCACTAGTGTTTTGATTCATGAACTATTCATATATTTTGTGACGGGTATTGTTCATTGTTTACCGATGAGTTAGCGGCTACGCGCGTAACGCAAAATCGGCACCGTTTACCACCCAAGTCAAGTGTGCCTAAAGAATTTTTACATCAAAAATGTCGCGTGACGTCAAGTTTTTGTATATTTTTTACAAAAAAGTAACGTCACGAGCGACGAGTGACTCGCAAAATTTGACGAACTTTATCTTTGTGATTTTTTGGTTGATTGACAAAAGACAAAATTAGTGTCCATTTTTTTGATAACCAAACTGACGGACTTCATGAAATTTGATTTACATTACCCCGCCGTCATCGCTGAAAAAATAAAGAATGAACAGTGAGGTGCCGGGTTCAATTCTGCAGGAATAAATACAGTATCAAAATTTTCTTCGGGTGACGTAAAAAAATATTTGCTTCAACTGCTATAATTACCAATTTATGTGATTGTGATTAATGTTTTGTAAGATTTGTTGATAAATATTGATAAACAAAAATCTGATTTTACGGAACCCTTATAGAGCGAGTTATACTCGCGCTTGGCCAGTTTTTTGCAGTGTTTCTACTTTACAACTGAAACTTACAGTAACTGTAATATTTGAAATTGTTTTGTCAGCGTATTCGTATAACAGACGACGAATATGTATGCGTTTTTCTAAAATAAAATTAAATTCTCGTATAAGTTGACTCCAACGAATAAATATAAATATTTCAATAAGAGCCATCTACCGAGCTCGGCTGAAACACTTGTGAATAAGTAGCATTGTAGCACGCTGATGAATGCTACAGTGACCGAAGCTGTGAACTGGTTCTGCCTGCTTGCGTGCGTTGAAGCACTTTGAAGTTCGTGCTTTCGTGTGACAATTATATTATTGCATCCATGGAGCATATTTTTCCTTGAGGAAGGGTACCAAGTTAAAGGTTATTTTTATATAGTAACTAGTACTAAAACTGTGGGTTATTTTTATTTTACTTAACAGTGTTCGAATGAAACTTTTGCAACTGTTTTATTGTGATAGCCAGAATAAGCTTGTAATAAAATTATAATGTCAGACACTATTGTTGAAATAGAACAAGGGAAGTTAAAGGGAAAATTATGTGAAACCCCAGATAAATATAAGTTTTTTACCTTTAAAAGTATTCCATATGCTAAACCCCCGCTTGGAGATTTAAGATTTTCCGTAAGTACCAGCAATTGTTTTAAAATTCGAAAATTAAGTATAACATAAATTACTATAGTAATGGATATTTAATTACCTATTAATACATTTGCTTAGTACCTATGTAATAAGAACTATATTTCTAATCGTTTATCTAGCTATTGTACTTGGCATCCAAGGAACTTACCTAAATAAAAAAAATGTGCTGATAACGATTTGTAACATTATTAAAATAGTTTCCTTATGAATTTTGTTTTTGAAATAACAGCAGTTCCTAAAAAATAAACATAGTTTTCGGTAAATAGGTAACAAATAGTCAGCAATGGGGTCTCCACGCTTAGAAATAAGAAATTGATAAAGTAAGTTAGTTAAAAATTCAATCAAAGCTTTGAAAATAAGGTTAATTAACACTAATAAGACAATCTCTCTCTAAGCCACAGAATAAAAAATAGACAATCTGCTACATTATTATTCAATTTGTTTTGTTTTTTATCAAGAAAAGGTACTTAATACTTTAATGTGTTCATATATTGTACCAAAGTCTTGTAAAAAATGTCTTTTGTCTGCGTATTTTATCCACACAAAATATGAAATTTTGTATGAAAAATCCACCAATTTCTTCCCCATTTTCATTAATTTTCCTTTTTTTCTTCATGGCGGGTATTCTCCGCAACTTGACAATCGGCGCCTACTTGTGTAATGATTATTATGATGATTTTTTCAAGACAGTAATGTCATTTGCAAGTTTGCATGTCCGTCTAACCGCCGCCGTGTGTACTAAAGGTATTTTTTGCAAACGCCAACCGTTTGCAAGCGCCAACGCTACATATTAAAATTTTCTCTATTTAAGGACCCAAAGTCATAAAAATCACACAATACAAGTTGTGAAATATTTGAAATGTTTATAATGTTTCAGCCGAAATCGCTTTCCCCATTGAGAGGGGATCGTTGTTCAGAACTCATTGGTAAATAAATACTATACTCATTTCATGTTTAAAAAAAATATTGGAAAACAAATTAATGAGTTTTTTTTTCTCAATATTGATGAATTTTTTAACTTCCCAAAGAACTTGAAATATGAGTATTACCATTTACTTTCAAGCGGTTTAGGCGTAATTGCGTCACAGATATAACGACATTCAATTTATTAGTTAGTACAGATAAATATGTAAATATATATACCTTGTATTTAGTGAGTTTCCGATATTTAGACACTGTTGCAAGCGCCATGATCACGGAGTAACACTGCCTTACTCCATGATCATGGCGCTCCCCGCGCTCCAATCCAGTAAATAACTTATTTTACTAAAATGTTAGTGACCATAAAAGTTTAAAACGAATATGTATATAAATATCCATATAAATCTTGCTTTCACTTAATGAGCTGCGCTATTTAAATATGTAAATTAATATTTTACAGGCACCTGTTCCACCTGAATCATGGGAAGGAATCAGAGATGCAACGATAGATTGCAATGTATGTATTCAATTTGATAGAGGAGCTGGAGGGGTATTCGGCGATGAAGATTGCCTATATTTAAACGTGTTCACTCCTAAATTACCATCTGCTGGTAGCAATCTTCTTCCTGTTATGGTATTTATACACGGAGGAGGTTTTCTATTTGGAAATGGAACGGACGAAAAGACGTACGGCCCAGATTATTTAGTGCAAACAGATATTGTCGTAGTGTCTTTTAACTATCGTCTTGGAATCCTTGGCTTCTTATCTCTGAATTGCAAGGATGCAACAGGCAATATGGGCATGCGAGACCAAGTGGAGGCACTTAAATGGGTACAAAAAAATATTGAGAAATTCGGTGGAGATCCAAAAAATGTGACCATATTTGGTTTTAGTGCAGGCGCTGCCTCCGTTGAATATTTGATCCTATCCCGTATGGCAAATGGACTGTTTCACAAAGCTATTGCACAATCCGGTTCAACCTTACTACCGTGGGCTCTTAATAACGACATAAAACAGCTAGCATATAAAATTCCTGCAAACATCTCTAAGACAATAAAAAACGACGAAGAACTCCTTAAATATCTTAAAGACATGCCGATAAAAGAACTAATATTACTATCAATAAAAGTTGTATATTCAGAACAAGCTCGGGGAGGTATTTATTTTGGCTTTGTGCCAACAATCGAAGAAAAGTCTGAATGGGAGACTTTTTTGGACGAAAAACCATATGATTTGCTAGCGAAAGGAAAATTTAACAAAGTGCCACTTATAGCAGGATTTTGCTCTCGAGAAGGACTTATTATGGCTCCCATAGGTCCACAGAAATTAGAAAAACTGGTAAAGGAAAAAAACTTCTCTGATTACATTCCATTTGCGATTCCGGAAGAGGACAAAACAAACGTGGATGTAAAACTTAATAACATTTATTCTGAAATCAAACCCGAATATGGCGAAACAGACACCTTAGCTATAGACTTCTTCACAGATGTTGATTTCTTTGGAGGTGCATATGTAGCCACGTCGTTGATTGCTAAACATAGTTCTCCCGTTTATTTTTACGAATTTTCTTACGACGGAGGCTTGAACTACTTGAAGAAAAAGTACGATATAAATAGGAAAGGGGCCTGCCACGGGGACGATGGTGGATATGTCATTAGATGTGAAGCAATTCTCGGAAAAAATGCCTCAAAATCTGATGAATTGGTTCGAAGTAGGATAGTTGAAATGTGGACAAACTTTGCCAAACACGGGTTGGTATATTTTTACTGAAATATTTGAAGTTGTTCTCGCTAACTGCTAAGATTTTAATGTCTGCTTTGTTTTTTTTACAGGGATCCCACACCAAAGACCGATGATTTAATTACCACGAAATGGGAGCCAGCATCAGAAAAAGGATTACTTTATATGAATATAAGTGAAAATCTGTCTATGAAAACTGAATCTGATTTGTACCCTTCAAGGGCTAAATTGTTTGCGGAGCTTTATGCCAAATACAATAAAATTTGATTATGATTTCTTATAAACAAAGCACAATGCCTTACTTACGTATTTGCATGGTCTTTTCCACGAAGAGGTACAAATTTGTTAAAGCCACTAAATATAAAATAAATTAATATATTTTAATTATTATACTACTATTTTTTATTAATATTTTTTTCTTTTCAATCAATTAATTTAATTAGAATTTGTTTTTTTTTATTTAGGTTTCGAAAGTAAAAATAATCTTAAATTTCTCCCAACTCTCATCGCAATTTATACTAAGAGAGAAAGCTTATTAGCAAATTATATTAATTATTATTTGAATTCATTCGACATCGACTTGTTGTTTACATTAAGTAATTAGATTAAATAATATAAGATTAACAACATTTGGAGTCGGTGCTAAGCATTATATGGCAACTGATTCGTTTATACAGGCAAAGCAGTAAATGAGGTGTAAATACTATCTATTCTGGACTATGCACAACTTTGGCCATAGACTATTTTTATGTAAGCTACCGCACCTTTATTTGCCTACACCCAAATTCCCACTCCATGGAGCCCTAGGATACAACACCACCAATATGTAGTGGATTTTTACAGTGATATTCTATAAGATTGCCGTTATATCCATACTATCTCTTCGTTGTAATAAAGATATTATTATCACTTGCGACCTAGGGGGCTTTTCATACCTATTTTAGGTTTAGAAAAAGTCACATACCATTCAAAGAATATTTATCAAGTGAAAGCCTTTGATATTACAATTTAAAAGTGTTGGAAAACATTCGTAATACAGTAAGTACACAAGTAATATGTGCCAAAAAAATTTTCATAAATGATAATTCATAAATCGTTATTAGGATATTTTTAATTCACGATAAATCATAATTATGTTTATAGCAAATGAGTAAACTAAAGAAGTATCAGCAAATAAATTAGTATGTATAGAAAAGGGAAATTGGGTGAACACTATCGTGGATTTATGATGTATGGAAGTATAAATTTCAGATGTTTTATAATGAAGTAAAGATGTACGGAAGTGAGTATATACGAGTACTTTATATACTAAAAGAGTATCTTAAAAATAAGGCCTTAATGTACTTAGGTGGCTTGCTGAGTGAATAGCAAAAACCTAAGATTGGGTGTAAACAGCATCCATCGTTACAGCAGGCGCTTTCTTAAATTTTTTTACCAGCAGTCAGTATAAAGATTATTTTATTAAAATTTTATCGAGTTGGATTTTTGCATAAACAATGTCTAGGATACCAAATAGTGTAATTTTGTTTTCGTCTGAGATTTCTGTTACTTCCTATTAGTTTTGTAGGGGTTTCGCGAAAATATAGTAGGTATTTATCCCCCTGGGTCCTCTGAATTATTCTGCTAATATTAGTCTGACCACACCCGGCACTTCGTCTCATCTCGGCAGTTTTTCATTTGTTTTTTATTATGACACCTTTCTTGTTATACTCAGAATACAGAACAAAAGGCAGATGGAACGCACGGAACACGCAAGTGCGGCCACCAAAGCAAATACGAAGTAAAAAAAAAGTAAATACTTTTTTGTCTTTGTGAACAGTTTTTACAATGATTGAGCAAGGCGGCATAGTTTTGATAAAAGCTTAATATTCACGGGTCGTATTCACAACCACAACACGATGCGTTGTAGTACCCACAAGAATTGATATTCGCTTATGACTTCACGCGTGCCACGCATTGCGTGTTCTGTGCGCTCCATCGGTCTTTTGTTCTGTATTCTGAATTGTTACACTAAAAACAAATGCATTTTAATTCCTTGTTTAATTATTCAACAATAAGCATTTTTATTCGTTCGTGATGAAATGAGTGTCAAACGCAACACCAATGACAAAGGAACACAAACGAGACACAAAGCGGGGTGCGCTGTGATTTGAAATTACAACACGTTTTTCAAATAAATTTCAAATGACACCGGCGAATTCCGCGGTTTGAAAAGTGAGTTTGTTCTTAGAGAATTCAATCACTGGGCATAGGCAAAAAATGTAAGGTTGTTCCAATAGTGAAAATTTCGATTTAATTTACTGCGAATCCAGGCCCAATAAAAACTTTATTTAAAAAATATGCGGGTAAGTCGATTTTTCTTCATAAAGATTTCTGTCATGCTACAGTCCAGTATTAACAGTGCGGGGGTGCGGTGGTCGACCGACAATGTCGTTTGCCGGATCACCGGACACCGACAACACGGATTGAGGAATGCGCTAATACCTTTACGGGCCACGACATCGTACTCAGCGAGTGGGCGGACAGAATTATGCATCTAACAGAATTACCACTAAATATAAGTTCTTCGTTCTCAGAATCGAAATGACCTATGTCATGGACCAATATGAATACTAAAGAAAAAAAACACGCATTTAGTACAATTCAACTAGCGTAAATTGCGTCCGAATCTGAAATCTGGAGTGAGAATTTTACCTAACCCTTTATCATAATAGTTTCCCAAAGTACGTGATATTTTTTACTATTATATCTGTTTCGTGTTAAGGATTGCTTTTTCAAAGGTTATATACTCGTATTATTGGTAACTATATTATAACTCGAAAATTTATTCACGTATCACGTTTTTATTTGTAGAAGGACATCTTAGAAAATCTGTAAATTGGGATTTTACAGTATGCCAAGTCTATTTCGTTTTTGGTCCGCGGTACCGGGTCACAGACTATAGTAGACTGGCCGTCGGCGCCAGCGAGTCGCGGTGTGAAATACTCAGGTGCATCCGAACCTGCCCACGGCAAATAGAGGCTGTTCTATTTCCTCACAGGGCAATAGAAAAGATTTATTTGGTATTAGTTTTCTTTCAGATAATGTTGAAATGTTGCGAAATGTTTAACAGAGGTCGGAGCTAGAATATGCATCTGTAATGCTTGCCATTAATATATAAAAATTCTACAATAATCCTACCATCACAAAGATAACTAAGATATAGCCGAAAAATATATGTAATGGAATACCAAAACTGCTCATTGTTCCCTTCTTAATTAAAGAAAAATGAGGACAAAACTACAGTTATTGACGCTATTTAGCGTTGGTAACTGGATAAGTTTAGTTAAGTTTATCTAATTCTTAACTTGTTTTTATTGCAATAAATGAGATTATTAAAAAAATGGTTTTTAAATGCATTCGAAGCTGTTATATTGGATACAATAACTTTAAATATTTACTTTATCCTTTTTGCGCCATAAATGCGTCGCAAATTCAAAAATACTATTCAATAATGTAGCATTTGATTTTTTTTATTAATTAAGCATATCTAATAATAAGATTATTATCATCTTACAAATAGTTTATCATTGAATTAATCATATATTGATATCTACTACATGATAAATAGATAAAAATAATTTCAATGATAAGTATTCGAAAAGGGTTTTTGTAAATGACATCAACCTGTAGATAAGGCTCCTTTCACAGCACTGCACGTGAGTCGTGATTTGATTCCCACAGAAAGAGCCGACTATTCGCATCTCTTTCTCCTCACAAAATAGTCAATAGCGTTGTCCTTATCGCGCCTTCACAGCCTTAGTTGAGGATGACAATAAATTATCTTTCAGTTCAATTAGTTCCAAAAATATCCACAATGGTTACCATTCTAGTCTGAAGCATTATGTTTTATTTTTATTTATTTTTTACAGCAATGAAACTATCATAATAGGGCCAAAGACATGTAGTAAATATAGGATGAGAAAACTAGAATGACTCTTCTTAAGTTTTGACTGACTCTTCCACATCGATCGTTTATCGGCCGTCCTCAATACATAATGTCGGGTAAAAAACCAGCTGAAGCTTTCTTATATAGTTCTATAAATTGCTCAGACCATTGGTCTGAGATAAATTGTTTAGTAAAATAATTATTGCAGTCTATCTTTTACTTGAGGCACCTTTTAATGGTCATATATCATGAAAAGGAAATGGCGTCGCCAAGAGGGGGCAGTCAAGGGGGCCTAGATATTATGGAAAATGTAGCCATATAATCTAATCTAAAGCAACCAGTCCTGAGTCCACTCACTTGACTTTCTTGTCGACCAAACATTTCTGCATACTACACGTCGAAACTCGAATGAAATCAGTAGATAATGACAAACCCAACTAACTGAGTCAAGAGCACTACAAGTGTGAAGCTTCATAAACTTGCCCCGTAAACCTTTGTAAACATGTCAAAAGTTTGATTTCGGTAGCAAAGAAGGTTGAAGTCAAAGAAGGTCCTAAGGAACTATATGAGTTTGGTCAAAGTGAAAATCTTTCGGAATAAAATTAAATAATCCTCCTGCAAGAAAAAACGTTGGTGTAAACCCTTTTTTGTACATATTATTAAATAAATAATTTTTTCTTAAATTTTCCTTTTAGGAACAGGAAAATAGACATATGAACTAGAACATTTTGTTAATAATTTATCAATTGTGTATGTGTGTTGAAAGCAAGTACAAATGTATGAAGGGAATTCAATTAAGGTCATTACACAGATATTCCTTCAAATAAATAAAATAAATATGGTAATTACACGTACAGTGTTAATAACGCATTAACACTATCCAGATTTCAGTTTGCTTTGCGGCGAATAGGATAAAGGATGGATTATGGAAGCATGCGATCTTTGTACACAATTCACTGCAGGTGTACATCTCGTGGGAGTCGGATATCTGCCTTTACCGATTACGTGTGTTTTGATTAGAAGATAAACAAAAAAAATATCGTTATAGGCTGAGCTAAGCAAAACATTGCTTAACAGTTTAATATCGTAAAGTGTAACAGCCATGACATGACGAATTTTATGATTTACGTCACTTAAGTATGGACAGATCACCAATTTCGTAGGAATTTTAAATTAAAATCTATTACAAAGGTCTTGAACAATAGTTATTTATTATACAAGAGTGGAAAGTTCCTTTTTAACCGCGTGCTCGATTTGGATGACCGAGCAAGCGAAGGATTCTAAAGTTGAATCACGAGCGCAGCGAGTGATTCTAAATTAGAATCCTGAGCGTCAGCGAGGGAAACAAACGAGCACAAGGTGAAAAATCTTTCCACTCGAGTGCAATACGTAACTTTTCATCCCACCTCAGCGAGGAAATGACAAAA